CTCTTTTGATAGTTATAACTGTGGGTGGTATGGTTTTCCAGTTAAAGCAAGAATTCATATAGTTTTGATGTTGACTAGATCGAGAAAAATTACTGGTTTGAAATGTGGTCCTTTCTCACTATTGCAACTAAATTTTGAAAACTTTACCTTTGTATGAAAGTTATCTCATTTTTATATATTCAAGTCGACTTAATTACGGAATTTCAATGTCTTCCTCTTTCAGGTATTAAAAAATATAATTTCTTACATAACAGTCATGCTATCTGTCCTTTAAGTAACATCTGAACATTTGATACATTTTTCTTAAATAAAAATTATTATCGAACATTTTCGACATCACATTAAATGAAATTGGATTAACAAAGAAAAGTTTAATGTTTCGAGTTTTATTAAAATAAAAATAAATATTTTCAATCGTTCATAGCATAAACTGTAGTACCCACTTGAATTATTAAAAAAAAGTAGTTCAGTTTTATTAAAGCTATCCAGAAATTCCTTTGGACGTTCCTGACAATCGCAAAACATGTTATACAAGGTATAAAAAACAGAATAAATACGCCTTTATAAATATTTTTATAAATACTACAACATAGAATCAAACTTTATATTATAACTAACGGGCGGTATTTTATGTACATCAAAAAAATAAAATACAAATAAATGATAAAATATTATAATTCTTATGAGAATTAAGTTATAACTGAATAGTTTCTAACTCTAAAATATGTACACTAGCGAACTTAGATACTGGGACCTCAAAAATTTGCAATCGATTAGTCGCTTCCTTCACGTATTTTGAACAACAACGCGTGACTACGTGTTCACGACGTGAATTGCACAATGAAGGAAGCGACTAATCGACCTAAGTTCGCCGGTGTACAAACGGACTCAGTACAAAACGATCTATGAGTGCACGAGAATACTTTGAACTAATTCAAAATGTTCGATAAAATCATAAATGACTACGTAGAAGAGCATTATTACTGGACTAGATTTTTCCTGCAAATGAGTGGTTTGTGGCCTTATCAAAAAAAAGTAGTAAACATTTTACTCAGAATTTGTTACATTTGCTATGCAACGTATTTCGTTTTATGTGTGTTAAGAAATTATACATTAATTTTTAGTGAAAATTCAGTAATAGTTATTTATGCAGTACCCAAAAGGCGTTTTTGAGCACGAGTGGGTTTTTTTGCCCACACTATCCGTAAAAAGCTGGGCACGTGTTGCATACAAAATTTTATGCAATAGTAAGCGAGAAATACTTTCATTTTAAACGAGGCATTTTACCGCGCACCAGTGTCCAAAAACGTATTTTGCGCACTAAAAAGCAAGAAGGAACGATGACAATCGAGTACGAAATTAAGAGCGGGTGTGAACTGGTACTGGCGATTGCAAGCGTGACGTTGTACTGTCTACACTTTACTACCGAACCACACGTAACTAATGCATTAAAAATTACGAATTTTTAGAGATAGTTAATTTCTCGTTTATTAACATTTTCAGTTTCGACGACTCTTCAAATATATAATTATTTATTATTTAAAAATTACCAACCAGCATGAGAAACAAATATTTGATCAAGAAGTCAATATCCTTTATCGCGTGTCCATATATTTTTCTATTTTTATAAATATTTTGACTTTTCTGTACTCGACATTGCCATTAACGTTACCTTTTAAAAAAAATATTTTAATGCCAGAACAGTATAACATCAGCAGATTTCAGGTTACAACGGCAACGTACATAATCAATCATAAAAATAATTTTTATGTAGTTTTCTTTTGTAATTTTATAATAATTATACGTGGTGGAGTATAATTCACAGTAGCATTGATTTCAAGTATACTTGGTAAGATTGCTTTCGCTAAATCGCAATTACATCTTATAGCGTAGGTTTTTATTCCTCAAAAAATTTAGTTAATAATATTAAGTATGGTCCATTCTTATCATCTATTTGCAGCTATCAATTAAACAATTTAAACGAAATGATTCAAGAAAAATATTTTGATCGAAATAAAAACGTCAATAATTTTATCGAAACCCGAATTGTTAGGCTACACTGCGACTACGTCGAAACACTCATAGGTGTATTTTTATACTAAACAAATAAATGAATTTCAATAAAAAACAGTAAAAGTCATATTCATAGAATTATAGAATCGCATGCATTTTAGAATGCTACAATTTTTGAATATATCAGGAGAAAAACTATTATCTGTTGTCATTTTTGGAGCACTCAATTTTTCCGGATTGTTTGTAAAAAAACATCTTTTTTGTAATTTCCTAGAAGTTTATGAAACGTTTTTTTCATGCTTTAGATTGTCATGTTGTGGAAAATGAATTTTATAGCATTTCTACAAATGGCGGAAATTTTTCTCATCTTGATTACGGCCTCATTTATGATCAATTTTATCGGTCAATTAATCATGAATTCGAATGAAAAAGTTTATTACCAATGGTACTATTTTGTTTTTATAAAAACGTTAAAAATATTTTCGATTTAACGTATTTAAACTAACAAAAACTCTTTTGATAGTTATAACTGTGGGTGGTATGGTTTTCCAATTAAAGCAAGAATTCATATAGTTTTGATGTTGATTAGATCGAGAAAATTCACCGGGTTGAAATGTGGTCCTTTCACTCTGTTGCAACTGAATTTTAAAAACTTTACCTATGTATAAAAGTTATTTTATTTCTATATTAGAGTTGACTCCATTACGAAATCTTAATGTTTTTCTCTTTCAGATTTTAAACAATACTATATCATATATAACAGTTATGCTATCTGTTCTTTAAGTATTATCGAATCATCTACAAATAAGATGAGTTTGTTTTGTATCAAAAAACTTATCGTTCATTTTTGACATCATATTGAATGTAACCGGTTTAATAAAGTAAAATTTAAATTTTCGAGTTTAGTTTTAATGCTAACAAATATGTCTAATCGTTTATTACCAGAACTGTAGTACCTACGTAAATTTAAAAAAATATAAAAGGTACTTCATCTTTATTTAAGGTAGTTTACGAGTACTGGTAATATTGTTTTTCATAAAAACGTTAATAATATTGTCGATTTAACTTACTAAAATAACAAGTACCCTTTTGACAGTTATGATTGTGGATAGTATGGTTTACCAGTTAAAGCAAGAATTTTTGTACATTTGGTGTTGACTAGATCGAGAAAATTCACCGGCTTGAAATGGAGTCCTCAATATTACAACTGAATTTTAAAAACTTTACCTTGGTGTGGGAGTTATGTCATTTCTATATTCGAGTAAATTTAATAATTAATTGACTTTTCCTTTCAAATTTTGAAAAATACAATATCACATATAACAGTCATGTTATCTATTCTTTGAGAATTATTTACACCATTTTATTTTCAATGAAGTTGGTCAAAAACAAAAAGATCCATAAAACATTAGGAGTATTTAATTTTTTTTCGCCACTACAAAATATTTATATAATGTTAAAATCAATATAAAATTGCCTGTAATAAAATGTTTGAAATAAAATTATTTATCGGCGTTGGGAAGTTTTTTAAATTCGAAGGTTTCGGATTAGTTAGATGTAACTAAAGTTTATATATGGGTCAAAATAATACTTTTTTACAAAATCGTGCGCACGTATGTCACTGATCTTGACGCGCTTTTGGTATGTTATAGTACATGGTAAAAAGGTCCCAAAAAATTTTTTAGACCCCCTCCCCCCTCCTACCCCCCACTTCCGGTATAAACGTCCATTTTCAATCTATATTTTTTCTGAGGACATGAAGCAAGTAAAAAATCTGAAAAAATTCATAAAAATACTTTTTCACAATCCAAACAATCTTGAATTTTTTCAGATTTTTTGAGTGCTTTAGGCCTTCAGAAAAAATTATTGAAAATTTCAAAAATCGAGATACGGTGGCATGAGCCGATGCAGTACTCGGAAATTTTTTCAGTTTTTTATTGCATTGAAAAACATAACCTCAATTTTTTTCAGATTTTTTAATTGAAGGTGATAGCTTCTAGGGCCGAAAAATGCTATTTTTAACAAAAAATGGTTCCTAGAACCCGATGGTTCCGGTGAAAAAATTTGAAAATATTTTTTTTGAATTCCTTGTCAAATTTTAATAAATTTTGACCGTTTCAAAAGTTCGATTGAAACTTAGCTCATTTTAGAGTATCACAAAGATTAGTGAAAAATATCTGAAGACGTTTCGGAAGACATTAAGGAATGATAAAACTCGTTTGATGCTCTAAAATGAGCTAGGAAGCTTCAATCGAACTTTTGAAACGGTCAAAATTTATTAAAATTTGACATGGAATTCAAAAAAAATATTTTCAAATTTTTCCACCAGAACCATCGGGTTTTAGGAACCATTTTTTGTTAAAAATAGCATTTTTCGGCTCTAGAAGCTATCGCCTTTAATTAAAAAATCTGAAAAAATTTGAACTTAACACAATCTCACGATGATATTCTATATTCAAGTACTTCGGAGTTAATATGTTGACATATCTCCAATCTACTTATTTCGATACATAACAATTCAATTTTTTGTAATTGTGACGTATAACTAGCAATTATCACGGTGGTTATCGAGTCCTTGAAGCAATTTTGATATCAGAGTTATTTCTATTTTAGCGCTACTTTAATAATTCAACGATGGAGAGCGTGAACGATAGACGGGTTCACGCATAGAAAGGAGGAAAAAATTGACCTCGTGTGAAAAAAAGAAATCAGATTGAACGATAAGACGGTATTATTTTTGATGACTCTTTGTAAATAGTAGGTTTGATCGATCGAAAAAAAATGATTTCTACCAGCAAATCAAAGCCATTGAATAAATCCATATTCAAGTTGACAATTAACACGTGCAGACTAATGCTATTAAGCAATTGATTGATAAGCTAATCAATTTAAAAAGCGCTCGTCACTTAATTTTTAATTGTCAACGCTTAACTGAACTATAAAAGACAGATGCTTAGCTGCGTTTAGTCACAGTGTACAGCCCACGAAAAGAATTCAAATCATGAAGTTCACCATTGCTTTCGCCGTGTTGGTCCTCGTCTGCGTAAGTATAAACTCACTAATGTCGTTATGAGTATTAAAAAAGTATACAACATTTATGAAATAACGTTGTTTTTTTTTTTGCAACAGAGAGCGCAAGCTCGAGCAGTCGAAGACGACGACGATGTCGGGGAAAGAAGTATGGTCAAGGACCAGCTGAAAGTCTTAATCGACTATCTGACGTCTACCTTGGAGCCAGCCCTGATCGAGACTCAGAAAGAAGTCGATCAAGTTGTTAAGCAAATGGAAAACGCAACGTTGGAGGCCTCAAAACTGTACTACAAGCATAAAACAGAAATCAAAGACGTAATACATTCCATCAGTTTTTTTTAATCATACTATATTTTTTAAAAGTTTGAATGATAATTTTTTTCCATCGTAATTTAGTTGCAGGATATCCAAACGAAAGGACTACAAGATTTAGCCGTCGGACTAAAGGTACACTGATAAACTTAACAGTTTTAATACTACGTAATAATTAATACTATTTTTTCTAATACTACAGTATTATAATTTTTTTCATATGATGCAAAATACTACAATTTCACTTAATTCTCACGTAATTTTTTATTCCTGCCAGTATCTCGATGTAGATATCTCCGAATGCCGGGATAAGATCATCCGCCAAAACGTGAAATTCACCCGAATCAGTAACCGTCTGAAGAAATGCATCGATGACAGTACGTCCATATACCTGAAGCCCGCCAAAGAGTCCCTCAAGACGCTCAACGAGACCATCGTTGTCATCAACGAGCAAGCCAAGACGGCCAACAAGTGCATCGACGAGGCCACCCTCTTCACATCGTTCTCAGCGGCCAAGTGCTTGACCACCGTAAGGATAGAATTGACTATTATTTTTATTGAAAAAAAAAAAAAAAAAACTATATCGTCTCTATCTTTTTGAGCAGGCCCAACTTTCCGCGGACGTGGCTTGGCTGAAGGCACCGGGACAGATCGATCTGTCGGGTCTCAAGTGGGAGTATAGCGTTCTGTTGAATAAATTGACCGAGTGCCAAAAGCAGGAGGCTTACGAAGACCTCAGGGCGGAAATCGATTCGACCGACAGAGAAGTGAAAAATTGCGTCATCGATTTGGTCCAGCGGAAGCGAGTCGCGTGAGAGTCGCGAAAAAGCTGCCGCGCGCACAAGTTGTATAGATCGATACCCATGACACAAGCATCGAATCGAGGAATCGCTTGTAATTCGTATATTTTCGATAGGCTAATAATATAATGAAAGATAAAAAATTAATGAGCAACTGCGTGAGAACAGCTGCGAGGTGTAAAACTGCTTTATTATTTTTTTGTAAATAAAATCGAAATAAAGCTGAAATAGAAAAAATTAAAATCTATATTAATGCAATGATAAAAGATAAGAGTTAAAAAGAGAAAAAATGTTGATCAAATTATGCGTATATTTTATTGTAATATGTGATAATAAGTAAAAAGATAAGAAATATTTTGCACTTTAACTTGAATGTATTCAAAAGTCAAAATCACAACCCCTTGAACTCCTTATAGGCACTTTCCAATGATCCAAATGCCGCCCGTACTTTTGGCGCTCCATTCTGGTTATCGCTTGGCTTATAATCCTTCACTATGTATCCAAATTGACTTCCTTCCGGGCAGATATTTTTCACGAAATCGGTGCAATTTCCTCCCCCCATATCTTTATTCGTTTCTGCAGTACAAGCCGGCCGCTCGGACCATATCTTAACTATAATTTTTTTCTGTTCCAAAAAACTCTTATACTCAACGGTGTTTTCGGTCAAATATTTCAGTATTTTGTATTCCTGCTCGAGACCCGTCGAAGATTTGAAAAGGGAACTGGGTCCTGGGAGCTCGGATTGATCGGCCAATAAATAATCCAATGCATCTCTCATCAATTTTCTCTCCGTGTGCCCGTAAGAAGTACGTTCGAACCCATCCTCGTACCTCGTGTAATGCTTGAAGTACTTGTTACCGTGCGATATTCCAGATTGGCAATATACAATTTTGCCGTCTTCGTCGTAGAGCGCGACGGCTCCGGCGTTTCGATCCCAGCGCGACTCCGGGCCACGACTGCGAACGAACGATTCCGCCAATTCGAAGTTCGCGCCTCCGGTCATGGGGCGACCCGACCCTTTGTCCTCAAAAATCTTACTGGGATCGTAGTAATTATCGACTGAAACCATATTTACGTCGTTTATAGGTTTGGATCGGCTCGAAGCGAGGACAGTTATATTCGATCGATCTACGCGACTGACTGCGTTGTAGCTGTGAGATAAGAGAAATAACACTGAGCTATAAGACAGAACAGACATAAGTATTACATTTTAGCAAGCTTATCCCCTCTTCAACAAATAATTGTTATCAGCTGTCGTTTTTTTTTTGCCGAAGTGCGTAACGCAAGGCTGTAATAAGAGTAGGAAAGAAATTACAAGCAATTTTTAAAAGCGCAGGCGTTAATCAATGAGAAAAATACATATAATTTCGACAATTGCAAAAAAATTAGTTTTATGTCAACTTATTCAATTATTAATTTCATTCGTAATCTCAGATTTTAACGCGTTATGATGCTATCGCAATAAGCAACAAGCAGCAACTATACTGTGCTTAACTTATAACATTTGACCAGACAAATCGATCGAATTGTTCTTTTTGGCCTAGAGCTCGAAACTTTATGCAATACATGTTATCGAGAGTATGATCCCTTCCGCCAGCTGCTTGACTTGACTACAGATAAGATACAAGAGCGACCAGTCCTTGATGCTACAATTTCCTCGAAATATTGCCTGATATACCTACACGGTTTATCGAAGTGCAAGATTGAAATTGTTTTTTTTTTATGTACTTGCGTTTAATAAAAGTCAATGACATCAGAGCACTAAAGATGCTTAATTACGGCTTATTAGCCGGACAGTTATTCCAATGAGCTACAATATTGGATTTTATTAATTTAAAATGTTATAAATTAATTGCAATAATAATTCAATTATTTTAAGATTACGAGCTATGCTTGTAAATGAAAATTTACATCTTCTAAAATGTCAACTTTTTTCTCTGATAAAAAATATTGCAGACGTTCAGAAAAGTGTCCTTCGTTGCAGCAGTTTATTTTTCTAAAGGATAAACATCATAATACTTGTCGTTTGGTACGTAACTTGTCCTCGATAAGCATCAACGTGAAGTTATGCATGCATACATGCAATATCAATGCCGAAGGTAGAGTTATCGATTGTCAGCACTGAGAACTTTTACTAATTTTCAAGATAAAAACAAACGGAACAAAAACGTTCAAAAATGTTTCATCGTAACGAGCGTAGCAAGATGGAAATTTTGCTAAGATATCTCATTGTATTTTACAACCAAGATACGATTACAGTAAGAGCCTTGAGTAGGACCTGTATTCAACAAATCGCTGAACGTATAGCATCGATTTCTCCTCCAAAAGTTACATTCATATTCAACAATCGTCACTCTGAAGTAGATGTTCTTAACAGTTTGATCCCAAAAGTAAACATTTTATCCACCTTATCAAATGTTTCATTGTTGAGCCACTTTTATCTGGATAACCAATCGTCAATCAACGTCTTGCCGATCGAGAAGGAAAACGACTACGATGATTACAAAAATTATATCGACGTCTACGAGAAACTTTACCCGAACAAACCTCGACCTCGAACACTAGTAATTCTGATTGGTAAATATTACGATTTTGACGGTTTTATAGAAAATATGTTGGAATACGGATGGAGCAAAAAGTTTTTGGACGTGTCTCTCGTGGAGGATCGCAATCATCGTTGCGTCGTGCGCGAATACAATCCTTTCATTGGCACTCTCAGCAACGACAGCCTCGACGTTGCGAGTTCAAAATTATTTTCAGACAAATTAATCAATGCACACGGTTATAAAATATCCATCGGAGTTATTACGCAGGATCAATTGGTGACTATAATAAGAGATGGCAACGGTCAAGCCGTAGATTTGATAAGTCCATTATATAACGAAACGAAAATTATTATGGGCTACATGAACTTCTCTATAGATTCGATTGTAGAAGTCGATACTCCGGGAGATTACGCTACGGCTTTCAAGCAGTTAAAAAAAAAGTTACAGAGCAATGAACTTAGCAATATAGGGGTCCCACGGGGCTATTCAGATATTTATCCTGACATAACTCATATTTTTACAGAAAAAGATTGCTTCAGCATCAATGCATTGGTACCGTTCCAAACCATTGTCCAAGTTCTCGTACCTCTCCACATTATAATTTATCTATTTACCGTCATTCTACTCATAAGCTTTGTAACTTTGATTTCACGATTATTCAGGCTTTTTGCAAATGGATTGAGTTTCGTAAAACTCTTAGGTGCACTTTTTGGGATTTTCGTCCACATGAGACCAAGCCAAGCAGCGGAAGTAATGATATTAACGAGTATTTTTTTAATATCCATCATATATCCGAGTAATTTTTATTCGAGTTTTGTCAAAGATAAATTGCTCGAATCGCCTACAACTTTCAATACTTACAAAGAAATTTTTGAATCTGGTTTGACGGTATTCATTTATGGAGGTTATGTGAAATTCATGATGGAAGCTGATGATCCCTACGCTTGCAAAATATTGCAGAAATCTATATCCAGTAAATTTTCTGAAGAATGCGTGAAAACGCTTCTGTCGGGAAATAAGAGAATTTGCATTTCTTCTTACGAGACGTTAAAATCATTTTTACAGTTGCATTTTACTAATGTCAGTCATTCTGTAACGTTTTCTGATCAGCAAATCAGTTGTCTTCCGAGGTCTTACATATTCGAAAAAGCTAGTCCTTATGCGGGAAAATTTCATAAAATTTTAAGAAATCTGCATGAATATGGAATCGATAAATATATTAAGGCACTACATACCAATACAACTTGGGACGAGAGTGAATCAGATGAAATGAAAAGAAACGGACTTTCGTTACAGTTAACATTTCTCGTCGCTTGTGGGAATGTTTTGGCTGTTTTTGTTCTAATGCTTGAATATTGTATTGAAACTAAAAAACAGAAGAACTGATGAGAATAGCACAAATTTCAATCTTAATTGTTCCGCTATTTAAATGATTGATCTATTAATTAATTGTGCCTGGATGTAATTTTAAAAGAAAAATAAATAATTGTTTTGAAAATTTATAATCAGCACCATCAAAGTCTTTCGATTAATCAAAGGAATGACTAGTCCAAGTCATGAATCTCTATCCTGTCAAGTGTAAACAATTGCTTTGTCAGCTACAATTGCTACACCTACTATTTCTCAATGTACCTCCTTAAAACTAGAGTATTTAGAAACAAAATACTAGCAGATTCTGGAAAAAAATTCTACTGCGTTAATTCAAATGATGATTGCGGGAGCACTTTACGACTCTCATTCAAATCTACATGATGCTTTCAAAAATAATATTCTTCGCATAAAATGAAAAAATTAAATTCAATTGCATACGCCTCCTCCAAGAGATCAAATGGTAGTCCCTCTTGAAGAATCAAACGTGGACCGAGTCAAATTATTAAACCTGAACTTGATATTTCGTCATCATGATCACTTTACTCTGCGAGCTTCAAGATTGACCTCCAGGGGGCGCATCTGAAAAAAGTCACTCCCGCAAGTTAGAAAGCACTCTTCAGCTCTTTTCATAAATCAACAAATAAGCATCAGTAGCTATTTATTCCGTAAATTCTTCGAAGTGTACGACTTCGAAGATATCGTCGTTTATATGGTTATAAATTAAAAAGTGTAATTGGTCATCATGGGGCAAAAATTGGCCTGACGTCGCGCTCTCTTCATATAATTCAAATTATCAAATTAAAAAAAAAATTTTTTATTTTCCGTTACTACAGTAGAGAGTGAGGGGGGATGGGGGAGGGGGGGGGAGGGGTAAGTATAATTATTTCATTGAAATTATTATTTGTGTCAGCAGTCACCGCCATCGCCGTTGCAGCTTGGCGTGTAAATGCTTAAAAATCAGTTCCATGGAAAAAACCGCTAATGACAGCAGGTAGCCCGCAAGCAGCAGAAAGAGGACCCTCCAATACGAGTCGTTCTTCGGCCTGTGCCTCCGAACATTCGCCTCGATGAGCTGCGACGACGCGTTGTCGTTTCTTAACTGTTGTAAAATGGCAAAATCCTCGTAGAACCTCTGCCACCATTTGGCAACGAGTCCCGACTCTTGGGCCGCTCGGATTATTCGATTGAAACTCGGCGTGTAGGGTGAACCCCGACGCATGACAATTGCCTGATAGGACGACCAGAAGCAGGGCTCGGCCTCTTTCATACGATCA